GAAACCACCGTTGTCCACGGAAACTCGTATCACTCTGCTTGTGTCGGACATCAACGACAACCCTCCTACCTTCACCCGTGCCTCCTACTCAGCCTATATTCCAGAAAATAATCCTAGGGGAGCCTCCATCTTCTCCGTTACGGCACGGGACCCAGACACTGACAAGAATGCAGAAATTACTTATTCATTGGCTGAGAACACACTTCAGGGGGTGCCACTTTCAACCTACATCTCTGTCAACTCCAATACTGGTGTCCTGTATGCTCTTTGCTCCTTTGATTATGAGCAGTTTAGAGACCTGCAGTTGCTGGTGACAGCCAGTGACAGTGGGAACCCTCCACTCAGTAGCAACGTGACACTGAGCCTATTTGTGCTGGACCAGAATGACAACATGCCTGAGATCCTTTATCCTGCCCTCCCTATAGATGGTTCCACTGGTGTTGAATTGGCACCTCGCTCTGCTGATCCTGGATACCTGGTCACAAAAGTGGTGGCAGTGGACAAAGACTCAGGACAGAACGCCTGGCTGTCCTACCGCCTGATCAAGGCCAGCGAGCCAGGGCTCTTCTCAGTGGGGCTGCACACAGGCGAGGTTCGCACTGCCCGGGCCCTGCTGGACAGAGATGCCCTGAAGCAGAGCCTGGTGGTGTCTGTGCAGGACCACGGCCAGCCCCCTCTCTCTGCCACTGTCACACTCACCATAGCAGTGGCTGACAGCATCCCTGACATCCTGGGGGACCTGGAAAGCATCCACACCCCGACTAATCCCAAAGATTCCGACCTCACACTCTACCTAGTGGTGGCAGTAGCTGTGGTCTCCTGTATCTTCCTGGCCTTTGTCATTGTGCTGCTGGCGCTCAGGCTACGACGCTGGCATTCATCGCGCCTGCTACAAGCCTCAGGAAATGGATTGGCTGGCGTACCAGCCTCTCACTTTGTGGGTCTGGATGGGGTGCAAGCTTTCCTGCAGACCTATTCCCAGGAAGTTTCTCTTACCGCAGGCTCTAGGAAGAGTCACCTGATTTTCCCACAACCGAACTATGCAGACACGCTCATCAGCCAGGAGAGCTGCGGGAAGAGCGAGCCTCTTATAACATCGCAAGATTTACTTGAAACAAAAGACGACCCCAACCTACTTGAGGTGAGTTCACTCCTTTGAGTGTTATGAACATTTATTTGCCAGTGTGGTTCTTATAAAACCTTAAAACAACAATGTAATTGTACATCATGTTTTCTCTAACTGTGTCCCACTTGGCCATGAGAAAACTGCACTTCCTGGCCTTGTTATGGCTAAGTGGGCCTAGGTAGTCATTCTGGTCAATATGTTGAGTATTGGCAGTAACATGGCACTTCCAGGGGTAACTCTGTCATTATGAGGATTCCGGTTCTCTCCCTTACCCTTTGAAGTTATGGTTGCTCCTTCGACCTATGTCCTTGAGTGACTGTAATGAGAGAAGAGCCTTGTAGGTGACCCAACAATGGTGCACACACCTGTGAGAAATGGGCCTGTCACAGTTTCATTCTCCCTGTTCAATGGCTGGGGTAGAATCCAGAGTCCAGCCGACCACCTGCTGGACCACTGAGCTGGACCTCAGCTGCTCTTTCACGTATTAACCCCTGTGATTTGAACTAGATCACTCCTGCCCATCAACCCATCCTGACTGACACAAACAAGTAGGGAGACAGGATAAATGCAAAGTATTTTATGCTTCCCTAAGATTTTGTCAGAACTTTTCCAAGTCAGACCACAGTCTTTACATCATTTGTTTGTTTTGTTTTGTTCTGTTTCCTTTTGTTTTGTTTGAGACAGGTTTTCTCTATGTAACAGTTCTGGCTGTCCTGGAAGTGCTTTGTAGACCAGGCTGACCTCCAACTCACAGAAATACTCCTGCCTCTGCCTCCCCAGTTCTGGGAGGCACCACATGCCAGTCTTTATATCCTAAGGACATAAAAATCATAGGATAAGAAGTGAAGGAGACAGGTATAGCAGTATGTTTATGGAGGAGACATTACTCAAGACTGGAGTTCAAGACCAACTTGGGCAAAAGAGCAAGAACTATCTCAAAAGGAAAAGTAGATATTAGTCAGATCATTAAACCCTTGTGCCTAATATGTGTGTGTGTGCGTGTGTGTGTGTGCGTGTGTATGTGTTGATTTTATCTTTTTTGTCTGAGGGTGGAAAGTTACTCACCTAAACCATATGAATCATGAACTGGTATTTATCACCCTTTAAGAATTTTTTTTAAACCTGGACTGTAGCTGTGTCACCCCTGGATATTTACCGAAAGGACTGTAAGTCAACATATCAGAAATATTTGCACATCAATGTTAATTACAGAACTGTTCACAATGACTAAGTAACCTAGATATCTACCAATAGAGGAATAAATAAAGAAAATGTTTTATATATATATATATATACATATACATATATATACACATATATATACACACACACACACACACAGTGGAATTTTTCAGTCATAAAGAAAAATGAAGCTTTGTTATTTGCAGGAAACTGAATGCAACTGTAGATAGTTAAGTTGTATTAGTTAATATTAAACAAGATAAGTCAATCTCAGAAAGACAAATACTATGACTTCTCTCATTTGTGGACACTAAGTTTTATATAGATACATAAAATGATATGTGTGTGTGTGTGTGAGAGAGAGAGAGAGAGAGAGAGAGTTATGCAAGTAAAAGTGAGACTGTTAGGGAAAGCAGGACTAACAGGAGAGAAAGGGAGAGAAAAAGGAGGCAATGGTGGATAGAGGGGCGTATGCCCAATGTACAATATATATTTGTGTAAAAATGTCCTGTGAAGTCCAGTTTCATATACAATGAATATATGCCAACACAAAAAAAATATTATTTCAAAACAGGAGGAAAATATTTCTCTGACTCTGTAAGAGATCCCTAGACCATCTATCTCAGCAATGAAATAGGAATCCTGTGTATGTTCTAGAACTTTCCTTAGTCAGAAGTTGTGGGTCCATTCTCAAATCTGTGAAATTATTTTACTCTTGTAGCTACAAGAGAGGGTTATCCAAAAACAAGCCTAAATGTATTTCATTGCATCTCAAAGGGACGAATTTTCCCTTAATATGTTAGAAACTATAACATTGAAATGTGTGAGTCAATAGATCCCGAAGACAATATCTGTAAGCACATAAAACTATATTCTCATTAAAGATTTATTTATATGGTGGAATCTTGTAGAAAGGAATGTAAAGGCAGGAAGCAGAGAAAACAAGAAAAAGGAAATCTTAGGGAAAATATAATCTATTTCTACTGGAGATGATTGAGCGCTTCAGAACGGTGAAATAAACCCATGAGCTGATAACTTCCCATTGACTTTTGCTGTTCTAAGAAAATACTTGAGACGTGGAAATTTATCATTAAAATAAAGATTCATTTATCTGGTTGTTGGGAGCTGAGAAGTCCAAGAACATGGCGTTCTCATCTGCTCAGCATCTGCTTGGGGCTTTTCCTTCAGAGTCGTCACATGACAGGGGGCATCACATGTTGGGCATCATATGATAAAAACAAAGCAAATATCTCAGAGACTGCTATTTTATAACAGAGCCAGCTACATGATAATCCAACATCCAAACACTGATTCACCAATGAAGGCAAAGCCTTCCTGGCCCAAACATGTCCTAAAGATCCTGCCTCCAGATGTTGTTATACCATGGGTTGGGAGACTGGGGTTCTAATGGATGAAACTTAAGAGGTGCATTTAAACCGTTGTCATCTGATTTGTTTTTGCATTAGAAATAAGGAAATTTGCTTTGGAGTTACCTAAGTCCAGGATCATGTTCTAAAATGGAGTGCTTGGGTCCAGTGAGATGACTCAGGAGTAAGGGCTCTCGCTTCCAAGTCTGGCAAGCTGAGTTCTGTCCCTGGCACACACGATGGGAGGAAGAAACCGGCTCCAGTGTGTCCTATGACCTCCACATGAGTGCACATGCATATACACATACACCTAAACACAAAATAAAGAAATAAGATAAATTGGAAATAATAAAATTAAATGTTTAAAGACTGTCAATGTCTTGCCAAAATTTACTGGCAATCAATAACTTTATTAATTACTGACATTTAACCGATTGAAGTAAGAATTTGGTTTATAGAGTACTGCATATTTAGAAAGAATTTGTTTCATAAAATAAATATGTTTTATGCAAGATTCACCATCATAAAAGCCTAAATACTACACTGCCACCTTTAATAGGCTATCAGGCCCTGATATACCTAGCTGGAAATAGTATGGCTTGCAAAGACTATCCGTGCATTAAAATATCTCTGGAAACACCACTCCTCTTGCAAAGACTATCTTTGAGAAGTTTTGTTGAATTGATAAAATACACAGAGGAACTAAAATGCTAAGTAAAGAAGTTACTTCAATAAACTTGAAGAAAGGTAAAGGTCAGAGTTCACTGAATAATGAGGGTAAAAATCCACTCACTTTTTGGGATGCGACAGTCAGACCTGAGTTAATAGTGCCACAGAGTGAAGTCATTGATGGCATTTTTCTCCAAAACTGGAAAAAGGAAGAAAAAAAAAGCACGCTTTGCGAAATGAAAAATATGAATGTATAGTGACGAAAACATTCATGAAATGATGATAAACAAGAAAATGTCAAAACTAAAGGAAAATGTAAATGCCTGGTTCCTTCAAACAAATTAAAAGTCAAAACAAAAGCTTTGAGGATTAATAGCTGCACGATACGCAGTTTTACAAGACAACCTCTAGGCGCCGCTGTTGACCAAAGAGAAGAGAGGGGTTCCCTGTTCAGCCGAGTCCAGCCAGGGCTTGTCTGCTTTTTCCTGCACCTATGAGAACATCCGTCCGTCCGGCTCCTTCAAGCGCCTGACAAATCCTACCCACATCCAGGTAGGTCACAGATTATCTTTTTAAAAATCCAAGAAAAAAAAAACGCAAAAAGAAGCTTCCCTGCGCGCTCAGAACGGCAGAGCAACCCCAGAGGCGTTGGAACCATGGCAAACCAGGTACTGCTTCACTTCCTGGTGCCTTTGTTCTGCGGCGCCATCTCCCAGCCGATCCGCTACTCCATTCCGGAGGAGCTGGCCAAGGGCTCTCCTGTGGGGAACCTAGCCCAGGATCTGGGACTCAGTGTCCAGGAATTGCCAGCTCGAAACCTGAGAGTTAGTGCAGAGGATTATTTCAGCGTTAGTGCGGAGAGTGGGGATTTGCTAGTGAGTGGCAGGATAGACAGAGAGAAGATTTGCGGGAAGAAATCTGAGTGTGCACTAGAGTTTGAATCCGTTACTGAAAACCCGATGAATATTTTCCATGTAATTGTTGCCATCCAAGATATTAATGATAATGCGCCACATTTCTTTGGGAAAAGCATTGAACTGGAGATCTGTGAGTCAGCCTTACCGGGGGTAAAATTCCCTCTGGACTCCGCACGCGATGCCGATGTGGGAAGCAACTCACTGAAGATGTACACTCTCAGCCCCAACTCACACTTCTCCTTGTCAACGAAGGAAAGTCCCGATGGAGATAAATACCCAGAATTACTGCTGGAAAAACTTCTAGACAGGGAACATCAGAGCTCCCACCACTTAATCCTGACCGCCATCGACGGGGGAGACCCACCCCTGAGCAGTACCACCCAGATCTGGATCAAGGTCACCGATGCTAATGATAATGCCCCAGTGTTCAGTCAGGACATTTACAAAGCTAGCCTCCGTGAAAACACGCCCCTGGGAACCTTCGTCCTGCAAGTGACAGCCACAGATCAAGATGAGAATGTTAACGGAGAGATCACCTATGCCTTCCTAAACGGTCCAGCAAGTACTAACCTCGTCTTCAGTCTCAATCCAAATACTGGAGCTATTACAACTAATGGTACATTGGATTTTGAAGAAAAGAGCAGATACATATTGGGTGTAGAAGCCAGGGACGGAGGAGTGCACACGGCTCACTGTAATGTTCAGATTGAAATTCTTGATGAGAATGACAACGTCCCAGAGGTGACATTCATGTCCTTTTCTAACCAGGTTCCAGAGGACTCGGTCCTTGGAACAGTAATAGCCCTCATTAAAGTTCGAGATAAGGATTCTGGACAAAATGGTCTGGTGACATGCCATATTCAGGAAGAACTCCCCTTCAAATTACAACCCACCTCCAAGAATTATTACAAGCTAGTGATAGACAGGGCCCTGAACCGGGAGCAGACCTCAGAGTACAACGTCACTATCACAGCTACCGACAGGGGCAAGCCATCCCTTTCATCCAAGACACGGGTTACTGTGCACATCACAGACGTCAACGACAATGCACCCGTTTTCCACCAGGCCTCCTACTTGGTTCACGTGGCTGAGAACAACCCACCTGGAGCCTCCATCACTCAAGTCAGCGCCTCTGATCCGGATTTGGGATCCAATGGTCAGGTCTCCTATTCCATCATAGCCAGCGACCTAGACCCAAAGGCGCTGTTATCATTCGTATCCGTGAACCAGGACAGTGGAGTGGTGTTCGCACAGCGCGCCTTCGACCATGAGCAGCTGCGCTCTTTCCAGTTGACACTGCAGGCGCGTGACCAGGGCTCGCCCGCGCTCAGCGCCAACGTGAGCATGCGCGTGCTGGTGGGCGACCGCAACGACAACGCGCCGCGCGTGCTGTACCCCACGCTCGAGCCTGACGGCTCTGCGCTCTTTGATATGGTGCCACGTGCCGCGGAGCCCGGATACCTGGTCACCAAAGTGGTGGCGGTGGACGCCGATTCCGGACACAATGCCTGGTTGTCGTACCACGTGCTGCAGGCCAGCGATCCCGGACTCTTCAGCCTCGGGCTGCGCACTGGCGAGGTCCGCACAGCGCGTGCCTTGGGTGACAGAGACTCTGCGCGACAGCGCCTTCTGGTCGCTGTGCGTGATGGTGGGCAGCCACCACTCTCGGCGACAGCCACACTGCACTTGATCTTCGCTGACAGCCTGCAGGAGGTCCTGCCAGACCTCAGCGATGACCCTCTGCCATCGGACCCCCAGAGTGAGCTTCAGTTTTACCTGGTGGTGGCCTTGGCCCTGATCTCAATACTCTTCCTCTTGGCAGTGATTTTGGCTATTACTCTGCGCCTGCGATGCTCCTCCAGCTCAGCTGCCTGGGGCTGCTTTCAGCCTGGTCTCAGCTGGAAATCTCAGCCTGTGGTTCCTCCCAACTGCAGCGAGGGGACTTTGCCCTATTCCTATAATCTATGTGTTGCTTCGCATTCCACGACTGCGGCTGGGTTTAATTTTCTCCACGTGGCGCCAGAGATTGCTCCCCCTCAGGATCTCCTGTGTGACGATCCTTCTGTGGTTGTCGGTGGCAATAATGAAAATCCCAAAACCTCATACGACTCTCCTCTTCGGGTAAGTTTCTACAGAGCTATTTAAGCACTATTTCTTGTATTCGCTTCTCGATCGTGCACAAATTAATCAATTTTGGTCACTTTTTTTTTTCATTGTTTGGGGCAATTTACTTGGAAAAGTGTTGTGGATGCAGATTAGTTCTTGGTTGCCCAGTCATCTTGGAAATGATCTGATTACCAGTTTCGGTCTTTACTGTTGGCGTTTCTGTGTGACTAGCAAATCTTGCTCGAGACTGTTTCCTATAGATCAGCATCCTTAATAATATTAGTGCCCTTTCTCACTTGATTTGTGAGGCTGGTTTTTTAAAAGTAATCTTTAGCTCTTTATAAACATATTGATAGTTCTTTCTGCCTGGATTAAAGTTCATGGTCATCTTCACCAATTTCCTCTTCTCACCGGAACAAATTTATTGCAACACATCCGTTTGACACGGCCTTCCAATAGTTAAGCTTGTTAGCACTTATTTGCCTTGCTGCAAGGATCAGATATTACTATATTTCATATTTGAATTACTAACTGTGGCTCAATATTATTCTCACCCAAGTTTCTTTTTTAACACTTATTTGTGGGGAGTGAGGCACACGTGCCAGCATATGGAGGTTAAAGGTCAAAGGACAATATGGCGTCAGTTTTGCTCCTTTCACTCATGGAACCCCGGATTAAACTCTTCAGATTCTCAGGCTTGCCACCTTCACCACCTGAGCCATCGTGACGACCCCTCCATGGATCTTTTGACTATTCTTAAATCATTTATTTTGTGCTCATTCTATTTTGTCACCATTATAGCCAGGACTGTGATGATCTTTCTATTTATGAAACATTTTGTATCTTTCTTGTTACCTTAATAACTTCTGTGAGTCAAATCTGCAAGCATTTTGAGATTTTATAACTATTTTCAGTTATTTCCAAGACATAATTTTAATCTCCAACTCCTTAACATGTAATAATAAAGATTGTAAAACAGCACATTTAACCTACTCTTTCAAAGACTAAATATTTTAATTCTGCATGATATGATTCTATGCCATCTTAAGAGTTTGGTTATTTGTGCATGCTAATTGGTAAGCAAGAAATAATTTAAATAGTGGAAGACTTTTTGACTTGTCTCAAAATTTCTTAGATTTCCCGAGAAAGCTGTGGCATATGTGATGATAGCGATGCATACATAACTATTGAAATAAACTATTAAAATAGCTCCTTTGGGCTATTTCTGAAATTGGTGATAAAGCAATTTAAAACAGTGATTAAAAATAATAGACTTGGTGATGGTAAAAATGAGACCACTGGTTGTGTCTTATATGAGAAAAAAACTGAAATATCTGTTGGGTGGATTGAGACAGAGTCTCTCTGCAAGGCCCTGGCTGTACTGGAACTCACAGAGATTCCGCTGCCTCCTGAGTGCTGAGATTAAAGGTGTGCACCACCACAGCTGGCCTGAAATATCTTCAGCTTAACTTTTCTACTTTGGTGCTACAGTTTATTTTAATATTTGTTTACTCATCATTTGAGTTTGATTTGCACTTGACTCATTAAACACTGAAAATGCTGTAGTCTATGAAAGCAGCTGTTGGATGGGCAGTGGTGGCACAAGTTTCTAATCCCGGGACTTGGAAGGCAGAGGCAGGCGGATCTCTGTGAGTTTGAGGCCAGCCTGGCTGTTACACAGAGAAACCCTGTCTTGACAAAGCAACAGAAAAGAGGCTGCTGTTGTAAAGACTGACAGTGGTGACACAGTGTGTGACCTAGAATGTCCTGTAAAATAGCGTTGGCTATTTTAGCCCACACCTAGAATCTCTCCCCTAAACCCATTTCTACAGGGGTAAGATTACCTTCTGGGCAGTCAACACCCTTCTTGCAATGGAATTGAAAAATTATCCCAGAATCCAGAGGGCGAAGTCATGGGAGGAAATTTGTTTCTGCATAGGTTGTAACTGGAGCTGGGCCTCCAGGCTCCGCGGGCCACTGTCTTTTCACTATTCCCTTTTCTCCACTCGTCACATCCACTGCTGTCCTGAGAGGAATGGATGTGGCCCTCATACAATGCAAAGTACTGAAAATGATGTAGGGAGATGAACAATGCAGCAACCAAAAAGAGATAGAAAACAACCTTTTCCCAGAAAAACTACTATATTACTCTGCCATAATTTAACTTAGTTTGATATATAGGAAGCTTTGGATAACTCCTGGATTTTTGTTGCAAATTAAACAACAGGATTTTGACCTTTATGCTCCTTTAGAAAAGAAAGATTAGGAAAGGGGAAAGTGTGTGATGGTGTTTTAGCAAGAATTAGTTGCAATAAGAGTTTAGTACTCTGGGTGTCGCTGTTCACCACTCTGGGGTGAAAATCGGGTATTTAATAAGAGCAAGATTTCCGGAACACAAAGGACTGGTTCTGGTCTGAAGGAAAGCATCAATCTGAACTCCCCGGAGCTCCAGCGTCCAAAGGTGCAAGTACATTATCCTGAAACCCAAAGATTGTGGGGCTCCTCAGGCTTGCACAGACTCAACGCCCAAGCTCAGGACTCTTTGCGACAGGACTGCAATGGCGGCTCCTTTCGGATCAGACCGCAGGGGGCTAGTATGGATCTGCATTTTCCTTGGATTCCTATGCGACATCCGGGCGGAACTGATACGGTACTCTGTGCCAGAGGAGCTGGAAAGGGGCTCTGTGGTGGGCAACCTAGCCAAGGACCTGGGGCTGGAGCCTGGGAAGCTGGCGGAGCGCGGAGTCCGCATCGTCTCCAGAGGTAAGACACAGCTCTTTGCTCTGAACACGCGAAGCGGCAGCTTGGTGACAGCAGGGAGGATAGACAGGGAAGAGCTCTGTGACAGATCCCCAAAGTGTACCGCAAATCTGGAGATTCTCCTAGAGGATAAAGTGAGGATTCTTGCTGTGGAAGTGGAAATTGTTGATGTTAATGATAATGCCCCCAGCTTTGGAGCACAGCAGAGGGAAATAAAAGTCGCTGAAAGTGAAATTCCTGGGACAAGATTTCCTCTTCCTGAGGCCTTTGATCCGGATATAGGGGCGAATGCCTTGCAGGGTTACCATCTCAGCTCGAATGACCACTTCTCCCTGGATGTGCAAAATGGGGCGGATGGGATTAAGTACCCGGAGCTGGTGCTGGAGAAGGCCTTAGATCGCGAGGAAGAAGCGGTTCATCATCTGGTTCTCACCGCCTTTGATGGAGGCGACCCGGTTCGCTTCGGTACTGCCACAATTCAAGTAACACTGATGGACACCAATGACAATGCTCCTGTATTCACTCAGCCAGAGTACCACGTTAGCGTGAAGGAGAATTTGCCTGTAGGCACCCGGCTACTTACGATAAAAGCCACTGACCCAGATGAAGGAGCCAACGGAGAAGTGACCTACTCTTTTCGGAACGTAAGAGACAAAATATCCCAGCTCTTCCAGTTGGATTCTCTGAGCGGGGACATAACAATGTTGGGGGAGCTGGATTATGAGGACTCTGGATTCTATGACGTTGATGTAGAAGCCCATGATGGACCTGGTCTACGAGCCAGAAGTAAGGTACTGGTGACGGTTCTGGATGCAAATGACAACGCTCCAGAAGTCACCATCACCTCTCTCACCAGCTCCATCCAGGAAGCTTCCTCCCCAGGCACAGTGATTGCACTTTTCAATGTGCATGACAGTGACTCTGGAGAGAATGGCCTTGTCGCTTGCTCTATTCCAGATAACCTTCCATTCAGGCTTGAAAAGACCTACGGAAATTATCACCGGCTGTTGATACACAGAAGCCTGGACAGGGAAGAAGTCTCTGAATATAACATTACAATAACGGCCACCGACCAGGGAACTCCACCGCTGTCTACAGAGACTTATATCTCACTGCAAGTGGTGGACATCAACGACAACCCACCCACCTTCACCCATGCCTCCTATGCTGCCTACATCCCAGAAAACAACCCTAGGGGAGCTTCCATCTTGACCATAACAGCCCAGGACCCAGACAGTGGTGAGAATGCCCAGGTAATCTACTCTCTGTCGGAGGACACTATCCAGGGGGCGCCCCTGTCCTCCTACGTCTCCATCAACTCTAACACGGGTGTCCTCTATGCACTGCGTTCCTTTGATTATGAGCAGTTTCAAGACCTGAAGCTGCTAGTGACTGCCAGGGACAGTGGGAATCCTCCACTCAGCAGCAATGTGTCCCTGAGCTTGTTCGTGCTGGATCAGAATGACAACACACCTGAGATCCTGTACCCCACCCTCCCCACTGATGGTTCCACAGGGGTGGAGCTGACTCCTCGTTCTGCAGAGCCTGGCTACCTGGTGACGAAGGTGGTGGCGGTGGACAGAGACTCAGGACAGAACGCCTGGCTGTCCTACCGCCTGCTCAAGGCCAGCGAGCCAGGGCTCTTCTCAGTAGGACTGAACACAGGTGAGGTGCGCACCGCGCGTGCCCTGCTGGACAGAGATGCTCTCAAGCAGAATCTAGTGGTGTCTGTGCAGGACCATGGCCAGCCTCCTCTCTCTGCCACGGTCACACTCACCATAGCTGTGTCAGACAACATCCCAGACATCCTGGCAGATCTGGGCAGCATTAACACTCACATTGACCGGGAAGATGCAGACATCACACTGTACCTGGTGATAGCTGTGGCTGTGGTCTCGTGCATCTTCTTAGCCTTTGTCATTGTGCTGCTGATACACAAGCTCCGTCACTGGCATGCCACTCGCCTGCTTCGGGCTGCAGGTAGTGGGTTGTCATCCATGCCTACGTCTCACTTTGTGGGTGTGGATGGTGTGCAAGCTTTCCTACAGACCTATTCTCATGAGGTCTCCCTCACAGCAGACTCGGGGAAGAGCCACCTCATCTTCCCTCAGCCCAATTATGCAGACACGCTCATCAGTCAGGAGAGTTGTGGAAAGAGCGATCCTCTCCTGGTGTCTCAAGACTTGCTGGAAATAAAAGGAGACTCCAGTCTTCTTCAGGTGAGTGAGTCACTCCTGTGATGAATCTTACCATCCTAAAATACAGACATAGGGTTTCAT